TTTTTTCCCCCCGATTAAAAAAAATGGCGGGGGGGGGGGGGGGTCCTCTCTATACTTAATGAGAAAACGTGCAAAATTTCAATATAAATAGACAAGCTAGTTTTATTTCTACATATTAATATCCAAACTTATTTCTTACACCTAAAAGAGAGAAACACTTAGAAGAGGAAGAAAGGTTTTAGGTATAATTAGCTAATAGGGAATAAGTAAGCAGTATCTAAGAAAATTAAAAATAAAGATGAAGAACGTTATGAAGGTTGTAATTGTGCTTTCTATCATCATGTGCATCCTCCTAACACCTACCTTTGCCAGGGTGAGTGGGAGTCGTGGCAGTGGAAGGGCTTCAACCACCAGATTGACCCCTGTAGTCCGTGCTGGTGCTCGTGCTAGCAACAACTCATCTTCATCTACCCCGGCCTTGTGCATGTCTTCTATTGCTATGGCTCTCTTCGCCTACCTTTCATTTGTTTACTTTTGATATATGTTTACACGTTGGGCCGCGGTTTTCAGAATTTAAATTTTACAGGTGTGAGTGTGAATTTTAAAATGTTGTATATGTAATTCTATCGATTCGTTAAATACATACGAGTCTGATCAGGTTTCTACAGAACCGGTGCGTGCATGGTTACCCTATATATTTTATTAACAATCTAATTATGCATTGTAATTAGTTGTAACTAGTGTTAATTACCGTTAGCTAGTCAATTAGTTAGATTGTTAGTTAGGCTGTCACATCAAGTTGGTTAGGTAATCAGAAAGTTAGTTAGGATATTTTCTTCTCTTATCTTCTACTTTTGCTTAGTTGGATACAACCGACAATATTACATTCTTGCGTATATATACTTGTATCGATCAATACACAGAGTGTGAGTTCACATTTTCTCAAATTTCAGATTCTGCAAACTTCTTCTCTCAATTGCCAATTATGGCTTTTCTGTTGTTCTTTGATTAGATGCTCACCATTGTTGTGTAGTTTGATATGGTATCAGAGCCTAGCTTGCTCTCGTCTCTTTCGATTTGAATTTTTCGTTCATCTTCCTAGTTGATTTTTTACCATGACAGGTGCTGAAAATATTCCTTCAACAGAGGGAACTTCTACTGGTGGTGATGCGAGCAGTGCTCTCTATGTACATCCCTCCGATATCCCTGGAATGGTACTAGTTCCAGTTCAATTCGATGGCACAGGATATCGATCCTGGAGAAGAGGAGTCATGCGAGCTTTGTCAGTGAAGAACAAGCTCGGGTTCATCGAAAACCAACTGCGAATTCACTTCAGTCACGTCAATGGCAACGATGTGACGATATGGTAACTTCCTGAATCTTAAATTCCCTCGCTAATGAGATTTCAGATAGTGTGGAATATGTTAATTATTCAGTGGAACTTTGGAAAGAACTTGAAGATAGGTATGATCAGACTAATGGAGCAAAGTTATACCAGATCCAGAAAGAAATTAATGATCTCACACAAGGAAATTTGGACATCACTGTCTATTACACTAGAATCAAAAAGCTTTGGGAAGAATTGAATACTCTGAATATGAGAAATCAGTGCTCTTGCACTTGCACTTGTAGAGCCAAGGATGGGCTACACAGAGCAGAACATGATAGACGTTTGGTACAGTTTTTGATGGAGATGAATGAGGCATACACTGTGGTAAGAGGTAACATTCTTATGGTGAATCCTTTTCCATCCATGGCGCAGGCTTTCTCTTTACTGATCCAAGAGGAGAAACAGAGAGAATTTAGACCTTCTAGTCGAGTTCCTATGGAGTCGGCTTCTTTGAGTGTAAATACTTCCAATAGTATTGGAAAGGGCCTAGCAGGAAGGAACTACAAGACATCATTCTCCAACAACAACTATTCAGGAAGTAACAATACCTCAGGAAATAACAATAACTATGGAGGATTCAATTATTACTCAGGCAGCAGTAGCAATAGGAATGCAATGTTATGTGATTTCTGCAAAAAGACGGGACATATCAGGGAGAAATGCTACAAGTTAAATGGATATCCACAAGGACACAACAACCAGGCCAACAGGAACAATGGATTTCATGCTAGACATAACAACAATCATGAATATAAGGGAAAGAGAGTTGTGGCTAATGTGCATGGATCTCCTGATGACATGATGCCGGCTCAGGGAAAAGACTGTCCACAGGTTAATCACAATCAAAATGCCATACTTACTAAGGATCAATATGCTCATATCATGAATCTCCTGCAGCATTTTCGAGTCGAGGGAGAGGATTTAACTAACTCGAACATAGGTGCTGGTTCTGTGAACTTTGCAGGTATTGTAGTATGTTCTTCCTCTGTAGATTTTGGCAAATTTTCATGTTAATGATTTAAATCAAGTGCTGACTTGTGGATCATTGACTCGGGGGCATCAAACCATATAACCTTTAACAGATCCTCTCTGACCAACATCCAAACCATGCCTTACCCTATGCTTGTTTCTTTGCCTAAGGGATATAAAGTTAGAGTGACAAAATTTGGTGATGCAGTGATCACATCTGAAATTGTTTTACACAAAGTATTATATGTGCCTTCTTTTAAATACAATCTAGTTTCAGTTCATTCCTTGACTCTTTCTATGAATTGCACAGTTTTGTTCACTAGTGCATCTTGTTTGTTACAGGCCACTTCAGTGAAGAGGCCTCAGGTGCTTGGTAATAGCAGAGAAGGGAATTATTTCCTTTGTTCAAGATGTCTGAAGAACAATGTTAAATCCTCCATCTGTTGTTGGGCGTCAAGTGGTTGATATTATCCCTCCCAACTTTGTATAGCTGAAAGTTGCCAAATCGGTTGAAAGAATTGAAAGGAATGCTGGAAATGCAATAAAAAAGTTGTCAACTAAGAAAGACCGGAAGTCCATGCGAGCCGGGCTTTTTGTCTGGGTCTTGGGCAGACGTACTCAACTGGTACAAATAGAAAGGCTCGTCCAGTGAGTGATGACCGTAGCTTGCGCGAAGGAAGAAACTAATCAATCAGAATTGAGACAGGGAGGAGAGGCGAAAGAGAGATTCTCCACGGAACTTTATCAATTCCAACGCAACTTATCACAACAACAACCACAATCCTTCTTTTTCTAGTCAGTAGTTAAGTTTCAAATGATAAGAACGTTTCTGCTGAATGTTATCCTTGCAATAAATGTACTGATACTTTTGTATGTTCTTCCACTTCTGATAATGATCAAAATGTGTTGAAAGACAATAACTCTTACACTACTTCTACTAAACATACTGTAGACTTGTTGTGGTACAATAGACTTGGCCATGTGCCTTTTGCAAAGATGAGAAACATACCTATAATTCCAACTAGTTTTTCTGCTAAACAACCCTTTTTGTGTACCATTTGCCCCATGGCAAGACAAGAAAGACTACCTTTTAGTCAAAGTACCACACATTCTAATACCATTTTTGAACTCCTCCATGTTGACCTCTGGGGTCCTTACCACATACCCACACATGACAATTACAAATATTTCATCACCATGGTAGATGACTATAGTAGGTCTACTTGGACTCACTTATTGAGCACCAAAAGTAATGTCTTACAGGTTCTTAAAAACTTTGTAAGTATGGCAGAAAATCAGTTCCAAACCACATTTAAAGGTGTCAGGACAGACAATGGGCTGAAGTTTAATAACACTGAAACACGTTTTTTTTTCAAACCAAAGGTATAATACATCAAAGGAGTTGTCCCTATACACCCCAGCAAAATAGCATAGTGGAAAGGAAGCATAAGTACTTGTTGGAAACAACAAGAGCTCTTCTACTTCAATCAAAACTTCCCATGAAACACTAGGGTGAATGCATACTTACAACAACACATCTCATAAACAGACTCCCTTCAACCTACCTCAAAAAATAAATGTCCTTATGAAGTCCTATATAAGAAAAAGCCAACCTACAGCCAGTTAAGATCATTTGGGTGTTTATGCTATCCCACACTACCCAAAGTTCAGAGGGACAAACTTCAACCCAGAACCACTCCTCACATATTTGTAGGTTACCCCTTCGGCACAAAAAGATATAAGGTGATGAGTCTTGCCACAAAAAGAATACATGTGTCTAGGGATGTAGTATTTCATGAGAATATGTTTCCTTTTACTTTGACTTCTGAAAAATGCACTTTTCCTTTTGTTCTTAGAACAGTTTCTTCCTCTGATTGTATTGAACCAATACATGATAATACTTTGGTAAATCAAAACACAGATATGATTCCTACTAACTCATATGTGTCACACCATCCTCATTCCCTCCCTCATAATCAGCCTACTCACACACTGCCCTCTCCTCCTGCAGTACTGCAAAGGAGATCACAAAGAGAGAATAAGCTTCCTTCACACTTGAAGGATTACATTTTTTCCATCCCTACTTTAAAGACCCCTGCTCCCACACAATCTATTTCCAGTGCTCTTTCTCTCAATGCCTTATTCACTAAACACCACCACATTTCTCCTAATGTCATTGCCTCCACCAGTCAAGCAGTGGTTGAAAACATTTGTCATGATAGTGAACCTTCATCTTATGATGAGGCAGCATTAAGTCCTACTTGGCAAAAGGCCATGATACAAGAATTTGATGCACTCTATGCGAATAATACTTGGGATCTTGTGAGATTACCTGCAGAAAAGCAAGCAATTGGTTGTAGGTGGGTGTACAAAGTGAAGTACAAATCTGATGGCAGTATTGAAAGGTTTAAGGCCAAACTAGTGGTTAAGGGGTACACTCAACAAGCTGGTGTCGATTACACAGAAACTTACTCCTCAGTAGTCAGGATGACCACTGTGAGGACCTTGATTGCATGTGCTGCCAAGAAGGGTTGGGATATGTTTCAACTTGATGTGAATAATGCATTCATTCATGGTGATCTCCATGAAGAAGTATACATAAAACTACCACAAGGGCTTGCTGTAGATGACTTAGGGTTGGTATGCAAGCTCAATAAGTCTGTTTATGGCCTTAAACAAGCTAGTCGACAGTGGTATGCCAAGTTGACTGAAGCTTTATCACTCAGAGGATATGTCCATTCACATCATGATTATTCTCTTTTCTACAAAAAGTTTGGTTCCTTAGTAGTTTTTATTGCAGTCTATGTTGTTGATGTTATCCTCACTGGTACAGACATCACTGAAATCACACATCTCAAGGCCTACTTGGACAGTATATTTAAAATCAAAGATATTGGTCGATTACATTACTCTCTGGGGTTAGAAATACTTGACATACCAGGAGGGGTTCTTGTCTCTCAAAGGATATTTGTGCTGGATCTATTAAAGGAATATGACTGTTTCAATTATAGCTCACTTTTTTCTCCTCTTGATCCAACTGTCAAGCTCAGAGCCAAAGAGGGAACTGCACTTCCTAATCCCACATATTATAGAAAACTAGTGGGAAAATTGAATTTTTCTACCAACACTAGATTGGACATAGCCTTTGGTGTTCAACACTTGAGCCAATTCATGCAGGACCCCAGAACTCCACACCTACAAACAGTTTTTCATCTTCTTAGATACTTGAAACAAGATCCAACCTTGGGTCTTCATCTATCCAGAGATCCTGATTGCTCAATTAAGGCATACTGTGACTCAGATTGGGCATCCTGCCCAGACTCAAGAAGATCAGTTAGTGGCTACTTGGTTCTACTTGGAAATAGCCCAATCAGCTGGAAATCAAAGAAACAAGAGACCATCTCACTATCCTCTGCAGAAGCAGAATACAGATCCCCCAGAAAAGTTGTAGGTGAATTGGTTTGGCTTCACAGGTTGATTACTGAATTGACTATATCTGATCCTTCTCCAATCCCTGTCTTTTGTGATAGCCAGTCTGCTATTCATATACCTCAGAACCCTGTCTTCCATGAAAGGACCAAACACATCGAAGTTGATTGTCATTTTGTACGCAATAAACTTCAGGAGGGGCTCATCTCCCTTCATCACGTTTCCACTACTGAGCAACTAGCAGACATCCTTACAAAGGCACTTACTGGTGTCAAACATTCAGCAGTCCTTGGCAAGTTGGCTGTGAGATCATCACTACCAGCTTGAGGAGGGGTATTAACAATCTAATTATGCATTGTAATTAGTTGTAACTAGTGTTAATTACCGTTAACTAGTCAATTAGTTAGATTGTTAGATTGTTAGTTAGGCTATCACATCAAGTTGGTTAGGGAATCAGAAAGTTAGTTAGGATATTTTCTTCTCTTATCTTCTACTTTTGCTTAGTTGGATACAGTTGTCAATATTACATTCTTGCGTATATATACTTGTATCGATCAATACACAAAGTGTGAGTTCACATTTTCTCAAATTTCAGATTCTGCAAACTGCTTCTCTCAATTGCCAATTATGGCTTCTCTGTTGTTCTTTGATTAGATGCTCACCATTGTTGTGTAGTTTGATATATTTCTATAAAATGCATTTCTTGTTCTTTATATTATTGCCTGGAGTACTGAGGCCATGTCACATAATGTAATCGATCTGTTGGAGTTTCTATAATTTATAATTTCTTGTGATGTGATTGACTATATGTTGATCGAATTTTAAAGCTTAATTTGGAGTGGGGATTGAATCAAATTTGATACAAGTAGAGCTGCAGTTTATCAAGAGCAACATGGAACAGAATATGTAGGTTCAACACTGCCAATTACTTAAAACTAACGGCTAAATTTAGTTTGAAACGTTATTTTATTTTTTCATCTGGTGTTCCAATCGCACGTTAGAATCTTATTAATTTGGATTTGCACCTGAGGATTTTGTCATACCGTGTGTATGCAACAAATTTTAAACATATGAAAAATAAATCAACCACAAGCAAAATCTAAAGAAACAAGAATATTTTATTAATAAATCAATATGGGTACAAATCTGTTCGTTCTCTTGTAAGATTTATCCATGATTTGAGGGTTGTTAGTGGTGTATTTTCCAAACTAGGATGATTTGGATTTGATTTCTTTATGAATATTCTATAAATTTGCGGAATATTCGAGATGCCTTTTCAAGGGAATATAGTACCATTTATATATGCATGAACTGAAGTTTAAGTTGAGTAGCCTCCATGAATCCTAAATGGAATTCAAGACTACTTCCAACTTGAATTGAATACGTCTTGTAAAGTCTCACAAAATTTCAATATCTACGCCCAGACTCAACTAATTTCTGATCTCTTGTCTTCCTGTACACCTTGAATGTGCCCATAATATCCCTTAAAAGATCATCCCCCCTTCTCTGGATTAAATACACTTAACATTTTCTATAAGTTAAATTAACTAGTCACTTAGATGATGTATTGATCTCTTGTGGATCAATAATAGAGTCCTATTCAGAAAATTTTATTGTCAGATTAATTACGAACAAATCACATAACATAGACACTTCAATGACCCAATATTCTGTCAATGTCCTGATTGCAATTGTAGTGATGGCGTAGCTACTCCAACTTGCAGAATTAGAACGCCATATTATACATTATCAGCAACAATAAATTAAAGAGGATACATTTATTATAACATTTTCCCCGTTTCAATTTATTTATCTTATTTTTTATTTATAATCCATCTAAAAAGTTATTTTTTGTCACTTTTTAATTTCAATTATAATTCCACATGGCATGTTTATGGTATAAGATTAAAGAATATTGTGATACATTATATATATAGTAGAATCTAAAAAAATTCTTTATTATAAAACTCAATTAAAGTTAAAATCAAAGCGTCAAATTGAAACAGATGGAGTAAGTTTTTTTTCCCTCCAAATTGTTTTACACTTTCTTGTTGACTTATTCACGTACTTGTCAAGTTGGATATTATTAGGCGAGATATTTAGACCGTATCAAAGAAAGTTCCTACTCACAGTGTGCCTATTTTCAACTATAAATACCCAAGCTTGTTGTTTAATAAAAGTACTTAATAGATAAATAGATTAATAAGGGTTGTGACGGAGTAGTAAATATTTCGAATTCGAGTTTTTCGTACAAAGTCATTTTTGTTAGGAAACGTTTTAACTTTCCCCCAAGGTAGAACCTTCCAGCGTGAATTTGAATTTAATCGAGCTTTAATGTGAATTCCGAATAAGAAAACTTTAGAAAAACAAACAGACAAATATAGGGGATATGAAGTCATCAATTATTATATATTAATCTAGTTCAAAGATCGGTTTTCGGCGTCTTCATTTTTTTACGTGTCAAGATTATTTCTTCTTGGAATCTAATTAAAAAAACACTAACCAAACTATACGTAATTCTTTCTATCCAATTGTATTTAGAAGTAACGTTCTCTAAATATACTAACGTCTGTTTTCAAGAAATTAAATACATTTTGATGGGTGCCTCCAACTTGTTAAATTGGATTAATTAACACTGTCCCACTATTGAATTTTAATTTAGAACGCCAGCATACTATATATTAACAATATATAAATAGAAATTTAATTGAATTTCAGAAGATTTGAAGTAGTAGGTGGACAACTTTTCATTATTTAGTAATAGAACGTGTTTTCAGATTATTCAAATCCTGATATATCATTTAAAATTTCTCACCACTTATATTTTATGTCAAACTATTAAGTATTAGGTTAGTTTTAAAATATTTTTTGCTAAACTAGTTCTTTGCTAATCACCTTTTCAACATACTTTAGTCTATTTTTAAAAAAAAAAAAGAAGATATTTTGGTCTATTTTTGACCATTTAAACATGTCAAGATTTTTTTTATTTTTTTTTCAAATCTAAAAAAAAAAGAAAGAGGTAAACTATGTA